AGCCGTTATCTAATAAGACTTCTTTCCGTTTGATTTAATTGTGAAACAGCTGCTTTCTGTTTTGTTCGTTTGAATTTCGAAGGGGAGTCATAACAGATATGTTATTTTAAATTAAAATCTACATTATAGTTTGTATACTTAAAAGGGGGAGGGGAAGCCATCTTTTAAACTTTTGTTTTCCTAGACTTTTTTAAGCACCCAGATTTTCCTTCCATGTAAAATATGCTATGAAGTAGCTTCATATATTCACTGCCATGTCCATGTGAAATGTCCCTATGGATGTCCTCAGGTTTCCTACAACTGGCTACACTCTGGCTAAGCCAAAATTAGACAAAGTACACTGCTCAAAAAATTAAAGGGAACACAAAAATAAGACATCCTAGATCTGAATGAATGAAATGTTCTTATTAAATACTTTGTTCATTACATAGTTGAATGTGCTGACAACAAAAACACACAAAAATTATCAATGGAAATCAAATTGAGCAACCCACGGAGGTCTGGATTTGGAGTTACACTCAAAATTAAAGTGGAAAAAAACACAACAGGCTGATCCAACTTTGATGTAATGTCCTGAAAACAAGTCAAAATGAGGCTCAGTAGTGTGTGTGGCCTCCACATGCCTGTATGACTTCCCTACAATACCTGGGCATGCTCCTGATGAGGTGGCAGATGGTCTCCTGAGGGAGCTCCTCCCACACCTGGACTAAAGCATCCCCCAACGCCCGGACAGTCTGTGGTGCAACGTGGCGTTGATGGATGGGGCGAGACATGATGTCCCAGATGTGCTCAATTGGATTCAGGTCTGGGGAACGGGCAGGCCAGTCCATAGCATCAATGCCTTCGTCTTGCAGGAACTGCTGACACACTCCAGCCACATGAGGTCTAGCATTGTCTTGCATTAGGAGGAACCCAGGGCCAACCACACCAGCATATGGTCTCACAAGGGGTCTGAGGATCTCATCTCGGTACCTAATGGCAGTCAGTCCCTCCTTGCACAAAGGCGGAGATAGCAGTCCTGATGCTGAGTTGTTGCCCTCCTACAGTCTCCTCCACGTCTCCTGATATACTGGCCTGTCTCCTGGTAGTGCCTCCATGCTCTGGACACTACGCTGACAGACACAGCAAAAATCCTTGCCACAGCTCGCATTGATGTGCCGTCCTGGATGAGCTGCAGTAGCTGAGCCACTTATGTGGGTTGTAGACTCCGTCTCATGCTACCACTAGAGTGAAAGCACTGCCAGCATTCAAAAGTGACCAAACCATCAGCCAGAAAGCATAGGAACTGAGAAGTGGTCTGTGGTCACCACCTGCAGAACCACTCCTTTATTGGGGATGTCTTGCTAACTGCCTATGCTTTCCACTTGTTGTCTATTCCATTTGCACAACAGCATGTGAAACTGATTGTCAATCAGTGTTGCTACCTAAGTGGACAGTTTGATTTCACAGAAGTGTGATTGACTTGGAGTTACATTGTGTTGCTTAAGTGTTCCCTTTATTTTTTTGAGCAGTGTATATTACAGCTTAGTCAGGGGTAGGATTACATATTTTTAACAGCCAGTTATGTGGGCATGGCTTAGTGGGTGTGGCTTGGTGGTCATGCAACTATGTGGTCATGGCTTGGTGGTCATATGACTGGCAGGGCCAACTCAACATCACTCACATTGAGGGGTGCATCTCCTTGCCTGGCCTCTCGTGACTGTCGGGATGCTGCAACGGTCATAAGTGTGAAAAAGTCACTTTTTTCAGTGCCACTGTAACTTTGAATGGTCACTAAATGAACTGTCACCTGTAGAAAAATACAAAAAGCTTCTTTGTTTGCAAAAAGCTGCCCTAAGTACCAATCATTAGATTAAAAATACCTGCAAGCTGGAGTTACAAATCAGGCAGGGTGCCAGAGCACCTTGAGGAATTAAAATAGCTAAAATGCAATGATAACTATCAGCAGCCAACTCTTGTTCATAAAGTGAAACCCTTTATCAGAGAGGTCATTTAAGCTCTCCAGAAAGAGCATACCCAGGAAAAGTAATCCTTAGATCCATTTGCACCACTTAAAGACACAAGCTGGTCTCACTCACCTCACAAGATATCCTAAGGAAATCATCCAGATTTAAGGAAAGATCATATGTCCCCCCCCCCCTGCGAAAGGCAGTAAAAAAATCAGTGCCAAGCTTGCATCCTGCCTCTTGGAAGTACACCCCAAAAGGACAGTGCCAGATATCACTAAAGCAATGAAGGAAGACCCCCCTCCCGCCCAGATAAAAAAGCAGGAAAAAATTCAAACACAATACAAATAATTAAATCATAAAAGTAGCTGTTGCTTGTTAAACCAATTACCAGAACAAATAGACACAGGAACTAGTCAGGTTTTTCATCCCAGTTTCTTTTCAGGAACAGAGATTAATCTTTTTACTTCCAAACAAAGCTGAATAGGGAAAATTATCCCATCAATAAACACAGGATTAAATGTCACCAAGCACAGAATTAAACTTCATCAAAAACCAGTTTTAGACCAAAACTCAGAAAGTTCATGTTTGAATGTCAATCTTTCTAGCTAACCAAGAAGACTTGCTGAACATCACTTATCTTGGTTCCTGGTCATTAAAAGCTTCTTTCCGGCAGCTCTGCTTTGATATTCAATTATTTCTTCAAAGTGCTAACTCCAACAGGGGAGTATTTCATCCCAATAGCAGTGTAAAAAGCTGAAAACAACCCTTCCCCTTTAAGAAAGTCAAGCAAAATACTAGCAAAGGAGGAAAAAACTCCAGAGAAGCTCCGGAGACAAGAAGTCTAGGCGTACCGCCAAGAATGTAATAAGGGTTAACAGAGAAGCAGTTTCTGTAAGCAACAACACCAGAATGTTTCTTTCCCGCCTACCTTACAGAATTAGCCCTGTAAAGTGGAAAAAAACAAAAGGAGGTTTCTTCCAGCCAGTTCACCGAACTGCTTAGAAAGTTAACAACAGGTTCTAGCAAATAGGTGAGAATTGGTAGAATCCCACCCCTGAACTTAGTATGCCTATTCAGCTACCATGGTAGTTGTAATTTGATTTGTTAATTCAGATACCAAATAGTATTTATGTAGATAATAGTAAATGGATTTCCCACTGTTTCTCAGTTCTGTTTCCTAATAACTGCAATCCAAAATTCTGCTGTTTAATGTAATCTCTGGATTCAATTGTTAATGCCTCCCATGACCCATCTCATTCAAAGACATTGGCTTAACCAATAATATTAATACTTTCATGCCCATCCAAGGAACATGGGGAAAATATAGTTCTATCATGCTTTGCTAAGCATTGCCAATAAGTATTAGAAAGCTATTAAGAAACTGGATATTTACCCCCATATGAGTGCTATTAACATCTGTGTCCAAGTAATGTGGGTTGATATTGAAAGGAGCCAATTGGAGAGCTGTCAAAGAAGGTGGATACACAATGGGCATATCATTTGTTGTGTTGATGCTTATGGTTGCTACATTGGTTCCTGCACTGGATCCAATGTATGGGATACCATCCTGTAAAAAAAAACATGGAATAAAGTAACAGTTAGTGCTTATAAAAATTGACTAGAACTAAAAAATCTGAAGATGAAGATGCTCATGTAGATACAGAACATAGATTTTTCCATTTTAAGATACTGGCATGGAAATTAAAGTCCAGTTTTTTCTTAATCTGAAAAGCTAATCATAGGAAGTGCACTCTGACTGCATATTTCTCTTTTTACCATACCGAAAACAAAATCACGAGGAAACTGTCAAATCTACACTAAAAGCTTTTGTAATGCAATTCTGAAATGTGACAGTTATAACTGACCATCCTATACATACAAAGCAGCATATAAGACCTGAAGCTTTATTGAACTTAAATCATGTTTACCTTTAAAGTGTAAAAATACTAAAGAATAAAAACATATATTGCAATTTCATTAAAGTCTAGGGCAGCAACTACCGGCAAAGTTGCATGATTAATACTCCAAGTTACTCTGAAGTTACAATTTGGGTTGCTAACTGAACTCCATCGCATGTAGAGATCCTATCATATGTTATAACAAATCTAAGACAGAGTTTTGGGAATGAAATCTGACTCCAGAGGATGTGGATGGAAAGAATTACTTTATGTCTGAATATTCTTGGACTATCTTTTTTCCTTTGAAAGTGTGATCCAACCTGAATATTTAAATATATCAAGGATTGTCCAGGATGTTGCTAATACTAGTGCTATTAGTTGCTAATAGTAGTGCTTTAAAACTCCAGCTTGTCCTTTCCAAGGAAGGCCAGATCCAGGTCACTTTTGGAGGCTGATCCAAAAGATTCCACATAAAAACTGACTGGTCATTGAGTCCACAAAAGTTGTACAACCCTAAACCTCAGAAAGACCACTCCCACAATGGCAAGCAAGGTTTCAGCTTCAGTGGCTGAAGTTTTATTCTGTTGAATCTAGCATTTGAGGGACTGCACTTATGCAAGATAGAAATCAACACATTCTGTGCATTGCACTAACATTCCCTTGCACTAACATTCCCTTTCCCTAAAATATGCTCTGTTTTGAAAGGTGAAACAAAGTTATCATAAAGGATACAGTATTATTATAATGGTGGAAAGCCAGTGTGATAGGCCAGCTGTCAGCCTTCAAGATTTTCTCCCTTTGCTTTGCATCTTTCGGCTGTCATAAATAACGGGGGAAGGAGCGGGGATATGGTTATGGGAAGTGAGCTGGAGGTGTTACAAAACAGAACTATATAAGTTGGGGGAGGGAAGATTCTTGCTTAGGCTTCTATCCTATGCTATGCGCAGCTGCAACTCTTTATCAAAATATGTCAAGGTCAACGGACAGAGGCCTCAACACCACCTGGAGATGCCCACATGATGATATACACGACTTTTAATTGGATGAGCCAATTGAACTATTGGGTGTGGGAACGTTGCCATCACTTTGTATATGGGTTTTACGCACCCATTTTCTCAGATTCAGAATTCTTTTGTTGCTACCACTTGATTTCCAGTAAAAGATATCTTTTCTCTAATTAATGGAGTCTAAGTATTTCTTTCTTGGATTTTGAATGGAGCACCAGCTGACATTAATCTCATACAGGGGTGTCCAGTTTACCTCAAACTTTTGGAAGGAGTTCCTGAAGTTATTGGGTTCTGCCCAGGGCTTAAGCTCCGCCCACCATCCACAAAACAATGGGGCTTGTGAGAGAACTAACTCAGTATTGGAACAGTATCTTCAATGTTATATAAATTATCAGCAAGATGATTGGATGACTTTTAATTGGATGAGCCAATTGAAGTATTGGGGGTGGGAACTTTGCCATCACTTCGTATATGGGATTTACGTGCCCATTTTCTCAGATTCAGAATTCTTTTGTTGCTACCACTTGATTTCCAGTAAAAGATATCTTTTCTCTAATTAATGGAGTCTAAGGATTTCTTTCTTGGATTTTGAATGGAGCACCAGCTGACACCAGCTTTGATTCTTTGCATCTTTACCTAACCCCTTTTGGCCTAGATATAGCACACATGGGCTGCAACAGTCCAAGTGACCCCCTATATCTTAGCAAAGAGTTAGTCTTCTGTATCTCTTTGTAGCCATCTAGTCTGTGCAGCCAAGGTCTGGTGAGCATATTTGGATGACAAAGAGTTGCCACAGGAATTGTCTGAGGGACTATGGAAATGTACTAAGAATGGAACGAGATCCCATGGATATAAGTAAAAAGCACCAGATTTCTTCTTCAGATTATGGAGAAGATAGATGCATATTTACTGTTTAATAAACCACAATACAATTAAAGCCTCCCTTTGTTCTCCATGCTTTTCAATACACACTGCAGGGGAGAAGATTTCAATAAACAGTTGTAGACCTTTTTATTATGATCCAGCAGAGCTGACACAAAACATGGCTCCCAAAGTTAATGAAACCTCCTCAAATTGTTACATTTCACAGGAATGCCAAAACTTTTCTAGATTTCTGTGGTTCTTTGTGGTGGGAGCTTTTTATGAAAAGGAAGTTTCTTGTATATGATCTTGGCTCTTTATTTTGTTATAATTTTAAGAGTTGGTCTACCTTTAAATGTCTGGTGGATATGCTAATGCTGACTGTGCTGTGCTATACATGCACTCAACCTAATGCATGCTGTTATTACAAGATTCAGTTCCCCATTCTTCGACTTCATCTTTGTTTTAGAAATGCCCTACCACATACTCATTAGCATTTTCCAGAGCATTTTCTCTGTAGAGCTATCAAAATACAGACCTTCTATGTAGAAATTGTATAAAAACTACAGAAGTGATGCCCCGCTTTTACCATATGAATCTGGATTTTGAAAGTCATCTGGGACTCTAACCGTTACAAAGCATCAGAGACTATCATTGTTTCATATTGCCCTTTCCACATGAAGAGTCACCAGATTAGAACAGAAGCTCTATATTCCATGCTTCTGAGACTCTGAAGGATAGCAACAGCATAGATTGGTCCTTCCCTATTCAGTTTCATGCCCTTATTCCAATGTAATAATGCTCAGCATCATTCAGAGTTCTTGGCCTAGCAAAACATGATCTCCAGGTAAACACTAAGAGAGCAGAGTCTCATCAGCATACAGCTTGCATAAGCCATCTTGAACATTCCCTGGAAAATTGTGGCATCCATGGAATAATCATCTCTGGATGCTTAACTCAGAAAAACAGAATACTTTCAAAGAATAAAAGTCCACTCAAAATGGACTCTTTAGAGAGCTTAACACAGCATGTGTTAAGTTTAATGTTTAATATAGTTATAATTTCTGAGCATGTACCAAATGTTTGTTTCAGAATTACTTAACTACCTCAAGAACTCGTTTTCTGATTGGCTGTATCAAATCATTGTCGTAAAGAGCTTTCAAAAGACGAAAAGTATTGCCACCACCTACAGAAAGAGAAAGTACTGTTGGATTAAGTTTATTCCTTTTGTTTTGTCCACAATATACAATACATCCTATACATATTCCTATACATATTCTTCTACCCAGAAGTAAATCCTACATGGCCTTTTTGTCACTGCAATACAAAAATTATGTTGAGACTTTAGAGTACAGAAAGGAGCAAATATGATTAAGAGACTGGAGGCTAATGAAAAGAAGGACTAGAGATGACATGACAGCAGTGTTCCAATATCTAAGGAGTTGCCACAGAGAAGAATGGGTCAATCTATTCTTCAAAGCACCTGAGGGCAGGACAAAAAGTAATAGATGGAAGTTTATCAAAGAAAGATCCAAATTAGAATTGAGGAGAAATTTCCTGTCAATTAATAATTAATCAATGGAATAGCTTGCCTCTGGAAGATGTAGTGCTTCATTTCTGGAGATTTTTATTTGAGCATGAAATCTGATTCCACAGGTTGTGGAGTCCACTGAATTAGAAGCTTCTTCTTACAAAGGCCATGTGAGAACCTAGTCCTGAGGAAAGTTGAGATATTTTGTGATAGCCCTATTACCTCCACCATACCAAATCCACTGAAACAGGCAATTGGGTTTAAGGAGGTTACACTGGTGCATCAAAGATAAAAGTAGTACTTGATTTATTACTGTTCAAAGTTACAACAGCCTTAGAAAAAATGACTAACAATCTGTTCTCGAAGTTATGGCCATTGTGCTACCTGTAATTATATGATTGTGATTTGGGTGCTTGGCAACTAGCTCACATTTACAGTGGTTGCACTATCTTGTGGTTGCGGTATGCAAACTTCCCAGCTAGCTTTCAACAAGCAGTCAGTTGAGGAAGCCAGATTCTCTTAAGAAACATGTGATTCACTTAAAGACTACAGTGATTTGCTTAATGCTTGTAAAGTTGGGTGCAGTTATTGATGACTCAATCATCACATCACTTAGCAACCAAAATTTGGGTCCCAATTGTGGTCATGTCAAGGACTACCTCTGCTTCAAATCTTAACTGAAGGATCAGGCTCTTCCGGTTTGCCAGGCTTCGGCGACGGCAGGGATTCCTGCCGTGCTAGCCGTCTTGGTGCCTCCAATCCCGATGGATCTGGAGGATAAGGCTGCCCTGTTGGTGCAGCCGAAGATAGGGGGGATCCGGACAGGGGTTGAGGGGTATCGCAGACCCCCTCCCCAGCCGGCAAAACCCCCTTTTCTCAAGGCGGTGGAGCGGCGGTCTTAATGGCCGCCACGAAGAAGCCGGCAACTGGCTTAAGAATGTGCAGGAGGAAGAAGGAGGAAGCTACAAAGTGAAAGTTCTTCTTGGCTGAACCGGGACTTTAAGGACATATTTAATACCTTGAAAACTACTATTTTTTTGGATGTTACAATGTTCCCAGTGGAGGTTTCCTAAAGCGGCGAATGAAAGTGCTGAAAGGGAAAGTTACTCTCCCTCCCTTATGGAACTAACAAATGGACAAGAAAGATCTGCTTTTTAACAGAAGGTAAAAATTTAAAGCCCTTTGTTACAAGTGGGAAGGGAGAGGTTTGGAAAAAAAAAATTTATATTAAGACTTTGTTGGAGGAGATGCCTTGAAGATTAAGAGACTAGAAGCTAATTGCAAAAAGGATTTAAAATACAGATTGGGTTTTTTTTTCTAACTGATATTACCCCAGGAAGAGGAACTGCAAAGGGAAGAATTTTGTGCTTTGCTTGGACTGTTTGATGACTTTGGGACTTTGGGGAATTGTTTTAAGTTTGGAAATATTTTGGTTGGCTTAATAACAAGAAGAGGATAAAGAAAAAGAAGAAGAAAAAGTTTATAATGGCTCTATCTCTTGATGAACTAAGAAAACAATACGTAAAAATAAGGAAAGAAGGCAAGGACGCTATGGGAGAAGCCTTTTGCTTTTTAGAAATGGCGCTTGCTATTTGTCAGCAAATTCAACAACAGCTGGAAGAAGCGGAGGAAGAAGAAGCCATTTTTAATGAACTAAAAAGTTTGATCAAGAAAGAAAGGAGAAAGAGAGGAGGGAAAAGGAAGGACTTAAGACTTAAAAAAATATCTATGAAAGAGAAAAATAAGATGCAAAATCAATATAATGTTAGAAAGCAAAAGGAAAGAAGAATACAACAGAGAGGGGAAGCCAAAAAGGCGGAGGTTAGGAGAGAAGTGAGTAAAAAGGCTAGGTGGGTCAAGAAAGAAAGGGAAAAGGGGGAAAAAAGTCACAAAGGTATAAAACAAGATGGGAAAAAGAAAAAAAATTTTAGGGACAAAGGGTAATGTATGATTTAAAAAAAAAGGGATTCTGCAAAGTACACATGATAGTATTGTAGTATTTGTATTAAAAATAGAAAATTGGAATTTTATAAGATTCAATAAAAGATTAAAATATTAAAGTATAATGTTAAAATGTTTAATAATGAATGACTTTAAATTTTAATAAAATATTAAAGGAAATGTTTAAAATATTTTTAATTATAGAGTTTAATGGGCTAACGTGTCGATGTTATTATAGATTTATTATTGTAGTATTTGTTTTTGAAATAGTAGAATGTACTAAGCAGAATCAGATTGGGATTTAGGTGCTATTTTAAATGTCAATTTAGGGGAATGATAGAAAGGCATCATACTCTGATTAGTGATTTCAGGAGAAATTATCTTTTTTTATATTGAGAATGAGATAAATGTTTAAATGGAAAAGAATGGACAAAAGATATAAATATATTGATTTAAAGCAAGATGAAATATATAAAATAGAATTAAGAAGAGTGAAAAGCGGGAAGGAGTTATATAGAAGATATAGAATGGTAAACAAGATAGGTAACGGTATATAAGAAGAGCATGAATTTAATTGAAGTCCAAACAAAAAGAGGTAATCTGGGGCCAAGCTACTTTCTAAAAGGAAGTTTTATGTTTTTGTGTTTTGTGTGTGTATGTTTGATTGAGAATTAATAAAATCTCGGAGGAATGTCAGATGAGAATAATTGTAAACAAGTCAGAGGGAAATATAAATATGATGATTTAATAGTAGATAAATATAGAAAAGAAATGTGATTGAATAAGAGTAAAGAGAAATAATGTGAAATTTGTTAAAGGGAATTTATGTGTCTATATGGAAATGGGGTAAATTAGAAGTATGCGATATAAAGTAATGTTTTACCTGCCTTGTAAAGATTTATAATGGAAAGAGGTTTTATGTTTTCAATGTTTTGTTTGTCTTTAAAATTAATAAAATTTGTTTTTTAAAAAAAGAAAAAAATCTTAACTGAAGGGTCTGTAATGTTATTCCTGATCGTTTCTGGAATAGAAATATTTTTGCTACATGGAGAGTCCAGAATGTGAATGTTATCAGTGTGAAAAAAGGATCATATGTGAATTGACTCTGCCCACCTCTAGCATGTGATCATTAATATATGTTCAGAATTAAGTGGTCTGTAGCCAAAATAAATCCCCCCCATGTAGACTTATCTATGCTAAAAAGACCATAGTCTTGCTCAATGTAACACACTTGCCCAAATGTAAGGCTATAACCTAAATACAACTTTTAGTTGTTAAATCACAGCTGTCTTGCATGAACTAAAAAACAATATTAAGGACTCCTGAAGCATTCTGAAAAATCTATGTTTCTGCCATAACACTTAAAAAGCAGTAGTAGAGTTAAGAAATCTCCTTACTACCCTACTACCTTCGCCTTTTTGTACCTTAGTATAGGCTTATCAATAAGACAATCAGTGCAAATTCTTTTAAAAGGTTAATATTTACCAATAAATATTGCCTCAGCTTTTGTTACAGCTTCTCTGGGATCGCTTGATTCATGGATACTGTCTAATCCATAGCCTAAGAAGACAAGAAGCTATATAAATCAGTAAGCAACAATGTGCACTGTAACAGAATTTGAAAGCAAGGCGTTCTTAGCTCAGAGACACAGTTCTAGCTAAGTACTAAAGTACTATAATGAATTCATGATCAAAAGGTAAATCAGGAAATAGTAGTCTTTGAAGCAAGTTTAATATCTGTGCAGAAAACAGGAAGCTGAAGAAAGGATGCTAAATAGCCTGGAATATTGTTCTTATGACCATCTAGAACAATGGTGTCAAACTGGCAGCCCATGGGCCAGATACGTCATGTGCAGACCATGCCCACCCCAGCTCCGTGAATGGGGAAAATGTCACAAAACATCACGTGAAGGAGTTTGACACCTGTGATCTAGAACTTCCTTGTTAGCCCCATTAGCCTCCACCATCAACTAAATAATTAGATCAAGCCCTGGGTAATATTGAGGATGCTATGCTGGCTAAGTTATAGTGGATATAAAAAGTCTACACATTCCTGTCAAAATACCAGATTTTTAAGATGTGAAAAAATCAGATCAAGATAAATAACTTCAGAATTTTTCCACCTTTAACATGTCAGATGTACAATTCAATTAAGTGATTTTTACATCTCAAAAACCTGGCATTTTAACAGGAATGTGTAGACTTTTTACATCCATTATATACTGAAAGCAGTGCAAGAATTTTGGAAAAAAGAAAAGGCCTCATCAAGGACAATTCTGGTGATTGTGAGAAGGAAACCCTTGTTTGGAATAGCAAGAGTGCCTGATTTCAGGGGAAGAGTGTCAATCAGGGGTGTCAAACTCCCGGCCCATGAACCGGATGCATTGTGTACTGGCCACACCTGGTTTAGTGAAGAGGGAAAAGTTGTGATACGTCACATAACAATGCTGTGACAACACGAGTTTGACACCTCTGCCTTCAATGTTTTCAGGAGCAGCTGACTGTCTGCAGCTCCTCCACATGTGTTTTTCACTAAGCCTGTATCAGTTAAGTAAAACATACACAAGCAGATAAAGTTTGCACTTGGGTGCTACAGCCTTATCTACTGAGAAGAATCTAGCTGATTGGCCATGGCTTGCCAACACCTAAGCATTTTTGTTTTAACTTCTGTATGGGTTTACAAACTTTATAGAATTATTAGGTGTTTTGCAAGCCATGCTATATGGCTTAAGGGCTACTTAAACTGTATACTTCTGTAGAAACTTGTAGCAAAATGTTTTTTTCAAATGCCATAGCAGTTCTTATAGTTGAAATATAATTGTATTGATGTAGAATAATCTTTTTGAGTGTCTTCACATGTGCTTAACGATCATTCAGAAATTCTGTGTAATTTCTTCAGTCCAGGAACAGCCCCCTACAATACTGTGAGCACTATACAGTCTGCAGAGATTGCCCAAGTCAGCTCAAATCCCCTCCATCTTTGCCAACAGAGAGGAAGATAGGCAGCTTTTTTCCCTGAAAATTATTCTCTTTCCCATTTTCCTGGTGCATTTAAATGTGTGTTAAGAATCAACCTAAGCTACTTCTTTCCTATGGAAACCATAGTCACAGGCTTAGAGGACCACCATCTAATTTTGCTCTGGCAGAAAGAGAAAAGCAAAGATTTCTCCTTTATTGTCAGAAACACTTGAGCACATACAACGATGGAGGAGGCTTATAATTCCCCATCCCATGATGTCAAGATGGAAAAGAAAAAGACTAAGCGTATCTCTGGGCATAGGTAAAACCGATGCTTGTTGCCAGAGAGGAAGATGAAAAGAAAGTCATATTGTATATTACCAGTATTTTATGATTATGTTATAATAACAGATAAACATAAAAATATTGGATGCCTTCCAATTTAGTGCCTTGGAGCAAAAAGGTCACCCACCCATCTTTTATGTCAGGAGTCGGCAACCTGCGGCTCTGGAGCCACATGCAGCTCTTTCAGCCCTCTGCTGTGGCTCCCTGTCAGCTTATCCCACCACTGGCTGGCCCCCACCCCTCCCCGCCACTCCTCACCTGATCTAGGATGGTCAAGGATGGAGACTCCCTCCATATTCCAGAGCAGGAAGTGAATGGGTCGGAGTGAGTGATGTTGAGTTGGCCATGCCCACCCAGTCACACTGGTTGTTAAATTATTGGCTCCAGGTGTTTTCTTTTCTGTGGGAAACAGGTCCAAATGGCTCTTTGAGTGTTTAAGGTTGCAGACCCCTGCTCTATGTGAATGAAGGACAGATCTGACTTACCTAAACTTTCCAGCTTCTCCCTTGCCAGTGTAGCATATGCAATTTGGTCATGAAGAACATAGGGGACAAACAAAACTTTCCTCACCTGCCTAGGAGAAACAATTTTATGACAAACAAGCAAAAGTTTGGGATTGGGCAGTATCTCATTTCACCCTAAAAACTAAAGCAATATGAGAGTGCTTCTCTCCATCATTCTGATGTTTACTTAGCATTTTAAAGCAAGAACCTAGCAAAGTGGCCAGTTTATTCACTGATGGAATGCCTATTAAGGCAGGCTGAACACAGATTATTTTTAAATAAATAGACCCTGAAAAAGCAATCGATTTATCTATTCCCCCATAAGAATTTGCGGAAACGTTCTTTTTCCATAATCAGTTCTTGAGAAATTCTTTGATGTGACCAAGCTGTTTGTTATTTATAATTTACACACCAATCTTATATAAATAGTATTATTCAATGTTAAATAGTTTTCTGATTACAGGGCTTCTCTTTTATTGGCTTCATTTTTGTAACAAGTAACTTGTTTCCTGTTGGGGAGTAGCATCGAATTAGTTTTACAATTTTTCGTTCACTTTGAAAAGAAGGCAGTATGTACAACCAGCAAGTTAAAAGGAGAAGCCAAGGAACAGTTTGGGGAGGCAAAGCGATCCTAGGATCGTCAACCTCGGGATGCAGCGCCTCTTCTCACCGGGCGCTGCCTCTCATATAAACTTACGCCCCCAGGAAGGTCTTGATCTGTTTGTTCCTGGCAGTGGTCTAGATAGCCTCCTCCGTAGAGAGTGGAGTTGGAAATCAGCAACAGCCGCCGGCGATTTCCCATCTTGTTAAAAACGCGTGTCTTTTCCAGGAAGCCGTGGAAAAGCCACCTCGCGCTGGAAGAGAAGAGGTGAGCAGCGGGCTCCGTTTGGAGAGGTGTGTCTGCCTGGCAACCGGCGGAAGGGGGAGAGGCTGCCTAGGAGAAGAGCGGATACAGATTAGAGCTAGCCGCAGAACTGGGCCCGTAGCCCGGCGGAACTTAGCTCGCGCCGCTAAACGCTCGATTGCTTTCGCCTCCCTCCTCGGATCTCCGCCTCTTTCTTACCCCTCCGCTCTGCGTTGGAGCTGTGGTGTGGAGACCGGCGTGGACGGGTTTTCTTTCGGAAGGAGAGACGGAAGGAAGAAAGGCGGTTGGCCGGGGACAAGCTATCATGCTGGACTTTGTCATTTTCGCCGTCACCTTCCTGTTGATCCTGGTGGGAGCCGTGCTTTACCTCTACCCGGTAAATAAGCGGGGTGTGAGCCTGGGGTGGGGTGAGGTGGGGAATGTCTGTAAAGCAAACCAGAGGGAAGTTTCACCGCCACGCACTCGTTGCAATGCAATCCTAGGCAACTTTACTTGGAAGTAAGAACTCGGGGCTGACTCGCAGACAAGTGAGCCAGGACATTCCCTTTGCAACATCCAATTCGTGCCCGGGACTGTGTGGAAGTAGCAGTTCCGTTGAGTTTCTTGTGACAAAGAACTCTGAATTGGTATAGGGTTTCCTGCCTAAGTAGGGGGTTGGACTAGAAGATTTCCAATGTCCCTTCCAACTCTGTTATTATAGTTATATTCATGATTTTACGGAAGCAGTTTAATAAAGCTCCTCCTTTGTTCCTTGCAGTTTGACGACCGAAGAGGAGACAGAAACCATTTTCTAATTCCTCCCCCACCCTGCCCTCTGGGTTTTCCAGAGACCATCCACCTTGCTTCCAGTGAGACCTTCCCTGGGAAAGCGTGTCCCATTCTGTCCCCCCCTCCCCATATTTTAATATACTTCTGAAAGCATTGGAAGAGGATCCCCAAAGTTTTCCCAACAACACCCATCTTCTACTCATGAAAATCCGAAAAAAACTGCAAGGGATGCAGGCAAACAAAATGGAAACTTAATCAGATAAAGTGGAGAAGCCCTTGGTCAGATTTAGTCAGTCACTTTACTGCTCACTCCAACTGTGGAGGAAAAAGCAAATAGGAGAAAAGGAGTTCAGTCTGTTCAATGTGGACAGCAAGTGGCAGCATTTAGCCATCTGAAGAAATGGACAGGATAGGGTAATATTTGGATGAGAGACCACTAGGAATAGTGAAGATAAAACTGGGAAGCAAATGTGGCATTCTGGAAGAAAGTAACAGCTAACTACTTCCATATTGTTGTCAGAACATTTCCATTAAATCATCAAGAGTCCAGCTCAATTCCTTCCAAGGAGTGTTCTTGTTTCATTTATGCGAACACTAATCCAAAGAGCCAAATTGGTGTAGGTGGGTCATCCTCCAGTAGGATTCAGTTATTTTCTTCAGTTTTCTTTTGTTTCATGTATTCTAATATCCAGATGTATCCACAATTTCAATTTAGGATGAGAGCCAACATCCCAATAATCTCAAATTGTGACCATTGCCCACTCAAAGGCACCCCTTAAAAGGGATATGAAGGCCCCTTTTCTACCTTAGAGGGTAGACAGCTCAGCAGTTAGTAGCCAGTGGAAAGAAGATGGGCTAACATGGGCCTGTGATCTGCCCCAAGGAAGGAAGGAAGCTTTCTGTGGTGAGGGAGGCTTTGGGTCAGAAAGAGAAGTAGAGAAGAAAATAGTTGGCATGCCCAGAGGTGGGAAGTCCAGTCCCTAGCAAGGATGGGAAATGTTTTTCGCTGAAACATTGGAGAAGGGGTTTTTTCAAGGGCTCCCTGACCTATTCAAATCCTGGAAAACAGCACAGTATCAAGGTTCTAATGCAATTACTTAATTTAAAATTTTCCAGGCTTGGCTTTCTAAAAGAACTGCTCTTAGAGAGCATATAATATGAATAAAAATGTAAACTTTACAGTCTGGAAGATTCAGCACAAAAAGAAATAGGATGAGGAAGGACAAATAGTGTTAGATAGTAAGTTATATAGATTAATATCTAAAAGTGTAGAGGAATTAAACCTCAGCTATCCAAGATTTGTTTTGTTAGACTGCATTTGTAATCTAGTTTTGAATGGGAAACTGTCTAAAATACGTTCCTTTGAACTCCATAATGGATCAGCAACACAAGCAATTTATAAATTAATAGTTCTGAATAGCTGTGTTTGAATGCAAATATATGTATTTAGGATTAAAATAAACTAATCATGTACAGGTTTAGTCGCATAGAAATTAAAATGATGACTTGTAGTCCTATGTTTGGTAAAATCCTAAGCATCTAGATTTAGTAACAGTTGGCTAAATAATATATTTTGTTTTCTGTTGACTTGATATTAACATCTTAATCTTTCCAATTACCTTCCTTTTTAGTCTTCCCGACAAGCTTTGGGAATCCCAGGGATCACGCCAACTGATGAAAAGTAAGTTACTCCTTTCTATTTAATTTCCCTTTTCTTCACAGAAGAGCCCTTAATCTTTTTAGGTTGTTTGTTGGGCATGTTGCAAATTTTAAGACAATGTTTAGAACTACCACACTTTATATAGGGAAGGATATACTTAACATTGGAAACTCCTGTTTCCTATGTATATTATTGTCTATCTGTTTTTTTCCTTCTCATCTCAATAATTGCTCTCCCTTTTTCTTTGAAGACAGTTCCCTTGCCTACTCCATCCTTTTCCTAGCTGATTTTAGGTTTTTTCCTCTTACTTTTATTCCCATCTTTCAAACAATGAAGCTGTAGCCTAAAGCTCTGCAAAGTTTCTAAGACTATTTGGGGCAGGCTGGTTCAATAGGGTAAAAAAATATTCTTTAAACATGTCGTTTAAAGGTAGTAATGCTTAATTGGAAATGAATTCTTCTCTCTAGTCTGGGTGACATAATTAGTTGGATCTAGGGTTCAAGTAGAATTGGTTTTAAACTATGCTTTAAATCCAGCAGTTTTGGTCTAACAAACTTTGGTTTGTGGCTGATTTGTTTATGCCTAGTTTACTGTGATTGAATTAATGAAATAGTTGTACAAACTATGGCTCAGCTTAATGTTGTGATTCTATGTTAAATTCTTCATTTCTTCTTTGAAGATTCCAGTGAATTTGCCCTAATCTCATCCTTCTTTCATTCCAGAGATGGGAATCTTCCCGACATCATAACTAGTGGCAGCTTGCATGAGTTTCTGGTCAACCTCCATGAGAAATATGGCCCAATTGTCTCTTTCTGGTTTGGACAACGTCTTGTGATCAGTCTGGGGTCCATTGACCTCCTGAAACAGCACATTAACCCTAACAGGACAAGTAAGTACTTTTCTCATGTCTACAATAATCTGAATCATTGGATGATATAAAATATATTATTTTGGGAGAACATGAGTTTTTATGAATTTCATGAATTTTGCTGAATGTTATCCTCAGCTGAGTGATATTTAGACAGATGAATTCAGCCAGAAGAAGAGTTGTAAGGTGGAAAATTATTTGTGAAGCTGAGGAATATGAAAAGAACTGTTCAAATAAATAGATCAATTTAGAAAGCGGGTAACCTAGTTCCAGCAAACTTGAATTGGCTAAGCAGCATTTCCATCTTCTCTAGATGATAGAAGTAATTAAATGCATCTAAATACTTCAATTTCAAAGTGTCAGTACTTCAGCATCTAAAGCAATGTTAACAAGCTATTGCACAGTATGATAGTGCTAAGTTTGTACGTTAATACATGTTTTTTTAAAATACTTTTTGTTGAACTACAGCAAAGTTCAAATAGGCAGTGGAATACTGGTTTCTGCACTGCTTTTCAGTTAATAACTTTAAAAAAATTCCTCTTACTAATTATTGTGGGACATTAATCCAGTTCAGTCAATGAAAGTGCCATAAATAGTACTGACACCTGATGTCAAGAATCACTTTAGAGCAGGGGTCCTCAACCTGTGGGCCACAGTCCACTACCAAGCCACAGGCTGCATGAGTGGCTGGCAGGTACGCACGCCTCTGCACATGGCCCCACTGGCGCTCTCGCGGGCATTTGTGGCTCTACTTGCACTTATGTTACTGAAGGCATTCGCAGGTCTACTTGTACTCACAGCCCCATTCATGGAAGCCTCAGCGCTCACAGCCCCATTCATGCAAGCATTGCCACAAACATCACAGGTGTTTGTACATGCATACATACATCTGCTTGTCCCTCCCACAAAATCATCTCTTCTTTCTCCCCTCCCCCATTCCAGATCACCAACCCAGAAAGGTTGGGAGCTCTACTTTAGAGAATTGTCCAGGTCATGGGTGTCAAACTCACTGTGTCAAACTCACTGTGCCATCCTGTGACGTTTTGAGATGTTGTTCCCTTTCACGGAGCTGGGATGGGTGTGGTCTGCGCTTGACACATCCAGCCCATGGGCAGCCAGTTTGACACCCAAGTTCAGGTAAATAAAACCTGAATAATGTTGCTGTTCTTCTGAATATGTCATTTGAACAGATTTGAAAATGTAATAGGCATAATACGGGTCTATAGCATATAGCCTAATCCTAAATTTTATCACATTATTATGAAAAAATCCTATTATTCATTATAGGCAGTCCCTAAACGTAGGACCACAATTGAGTCCAAATTTTTCTGTTGCTAAGAAGACAGCTGTTTAGTGAGTTTTGCCTCTTTTTATCATTTTTTTGCTAGTAGTTAGCCAATCACTGCAGTTAAGTGAATCATGCAGTCCTTAAGTGAACCTGGCTTCCTCCATTGACTTTGCTTGTTGGAAACCAGCTGGGAAGGTTACAAATGATGATGACATGACCCTGGGGACAGTACAGCTGTCATAAATACATGCCAGCTGCTAAGCACCTGAATTTTGGTCACAGAACTATGATAATGCACGTAGACCTTGAATTATGACCACAATTGAGCCCCAAATTTATGTTGCTAAATGAGAAATTTGTTGCATTTTGCCCTATTTTTATTTTCTTACCACATTTGTTCAATGAATCACTGTAGTTGTTAAATTAAGTGTGATGATTCCCCCTGGGTGCTTCCCCAGATACCTCTCTAGATGTTAGCTGGGGAAGGATGAACTGGTTCCTGTCACATCAGGAGCTGAGATGATTGGTGGCTCTGAGCAGCCATCTGTGAGGGATTTGGCTGAGGTTCCAGGTGGGGAAAACATGCAGCTGCAGCTGGTCAGTGAGGAGGAGGAGGAGGAAATGCCTTCTGCCCCTGATCCAAGAACATAGGGCAGAGAAAAGGCAGGAACAGAGAAGGTCAACCAGATTACTTGTGAGGAGAAAGCTTTGCCCTTCTTTGTGCACATCAGACAGATGGAGGCAATGCTGGGAACAACTGTTAGTTTCTTAAGTTATTTTCTGGTTGTTGTGATTCCTGCCTCACTTTGGATTGACACTGTACCTTGACAGATCGTGCCTTGGAAACTCTGGACTTTTCTTGCCTCATGAGCAATCTTGTGTTGTGGATTTAAGTTTGCCTGATGGATTTATTTTGATTGAGAAACTTTCAAGTGCCTTGCGGACTCTTTCGCCATTGTTCTGTGGACTAGTCTGCTTGTGACTGGACTTAATTGGGACAGTTCTGGCTTTTTTGGTGAAGGGAATTGCTGGGGAATATTAATAAACTCATTAAACCATAGTTACGCGTGAGTGCCCAGGACAGTGCCTTAAGTGAATTTGGCTTTCCCATTGACTTTGCTGGTCAGAAGGTCACAAAAGGGGATCAGATGACCCAGAACACTGCAACCAGTTGTCAAGCATCCAAATGTAATTGGGGATGCCGCAATGGTCATAAGTATCAAAAATAATAAGTCAACTTTTTCAGAGCCATTATAACTTTGAATAGTCACTAAATGAACCGTTGAGGACTACCTGTACTGCAGGGGTGGGATTCTACCGGTCTGGTCCGGTTCTATAGAACCTGTTGTTACGGCCCCCGGTAGTTCGGAAAACTGGTAAAATGGGCCCCTGGCTGGCCCCGCTCCTCTCCGCCCGCTCCTCCATTCCCGGCCCAGTCAGTCATTATTGCGCATGTGCGACAATAGCTGACAGCATTCTCCCCTGCCCACCCCGCTCCACCCAGTCACTACTTATAGCGCATATGTGCTATGCTTCCCACATTTTCCCGCCCGCTGCCATTGCTCCCAGCAGCAGCAGTAGCACCAGCCAGCCATCACTACCTGCCTTCTGCCATCCTGCTTGATCTGGGTGAGTGAGGGCAAGCCGCGGTTGCCACCACCTCTAGCTGCCCTCGCTCACCCAGACTGCCTTGTCCGGACTGCTTCCCCAGGCCTGCCTGCCTGCCTGCGATGTCCAGCCTGCCTCCTAGACCTGCCTTGCCCAGCCTGCCTCCATCTTCTGCTGCCTGTGGCCTTTCATTGTTGCTGCCTGTGGCCTTTAATTGTTGCTGCCTTGCCTTCCACCACCGATTGGTTGTCTACCTCCTCCTGCCGCCGCCGCTGCCAGCCCCGGTCAAGTGCCAACTCCCGGGCCACCCAGTCACCCTTGCTACCTGCCTTGCCCAGCCAGCAGCCGCCATCTTTGGCCGGCCGCCATCTTCTCGAGCTCATGACCCACCACACTGTTGTTGCTGCCTGGCCTTCCACTACCAATTGGTGAGTGAGGACGCAAAGGTAGCAAGCCCTGCCAGTCATCTACCTTCTCCTGCCGCCGCCACCTCTAGCCCCAGTCGAGTGCCGATTCCCGGGCTAGCTGCCCAGCCATCCTCACTGCAGGAAGCTCCAAGAAGACCGAGGAGGACCCCGGCGTAGCTGGTTAGCCAAGTTGCCTGCTTAATTTTTGGTAAGTTGCTTTTGAAAATTTCTTTATGTATTTATTTTTTTAGTATCTGTTTTGGTTTTTATTAATCATAAAAACAAAACAGATACTAAAAAAATAAATACATAAATAACAATTATTTTACTATTATTGTTACATGTTGATACTTCTCTTTGTTTCTCCTTTGCTTTTTGCTATTAGGAAAAAACAAAGGAGAAACATAAGTATCAATATGTAACAATAACAGTAGTGTAACAAAAAAATGCATTTATGTATGTATTCATGTTTTCAGTATCTCTACTGTTTGTATGATTAATAAAAACAAAATCTATACTAAAATATTATTAAAACTATTAAAATAAGTTTTAATAATATTTTTAGTATAGATTTTGTTTATGAGTTTATGTATTTATTTTTTTAGTATCTTTAGTTTTTATGAATAAGTATTGTCAGGCAGGACACATAGCATTTAGGAAAAAACAAAGGAAAAATAAGTATCAACGGTAGTGTAACAAAAAACTTTAAATTTCTTTGTAATGGCTTATTTCTAATTCTTTTAATTATATATACATGTTTATAATTATCAACCCTCTGTATTTAATTCATACATAGCAGTGATCATTTTCCGCCTAATTTCTACCTCTTATGTCTATCCACATTGTAATTTTTTAATTTCATTTTCATCTATAGGGATCTCTTCTTTTTTCTACTGTTGTGCAAACATAATTCTAGCTGTTGTTAACAAAGTAAAATTTAAATATGTATTGTATTCCCTTTATGTGGGTACCAACAAAAATATTTTGGTTTTAAAATTTAAATCTATATGTTGCTTTACCATTTTTTGCTAACCTTGACACTAGATCCTCTTTTTTTTAAAGAATTTTTTATTTTTGGACAAACATACACAAACAAAATATAAAACATAAAACCATCTTCTAATTACGTACATACAGTGTGTCAGTTGGTTACAATTTTTTTCTGCATCTTCTCTCTAGTCCTCGCTTACAATTGTTTGTAGATTCTCATATTATCAATCAAATACATATGTACACATTATTATCATTGTTAATCATTTATTTGACTAAACTATTATTCCTTCATATTATGCAAAATATTCAAAATTTTAAATTGATTTATAATATAACAATTCATATTATCATCCTAAATCCATCCAATAATAATACATCTTTGTTCTGTCTCACTTTTCTTCTTTCCCAAAAGATGAAAGAATACAAACTCACACAACACAGGCAGGCAAGCTGGCTCGGACTTCACAGAGTTAATTCTTTGAAACTGATGATACCCTTGGCATTCCAACACCCTCTGCCTGCCAAGTCCGAACTGATAACAAATAAAAAACTACTCACAGAAAATTACAAGGCAGTCCACAAAAATCATTAACAAAGAAAATCTGAAGTAAGGTTAAACTTTGTCTCGTTCAAGGTTCCAGCCGAAAACACACCCACTTTTATCCCCTGTGGGGTGTGGCTCAATGACTCAGCTCACTCGCTGACCCTCCCATGCCTCCTATGTT